CAGTTAACAAAAGATAAGTCACTAACACTAACTCTAGGCCACAATAAAAAATTAGGTTACAATCTATAGATATTATATCAGATGATACCAAATTCAAGTCAAAATTTACCAAAATTAGGCCACACAAATTCATTCTAGGGATGATAAAAAAATTCGACAAACCCGATACCCGCGGGGGCCCACCCCAAAATAAGGCGGGGACGGGTAACGGTTGCCCCGCCCCGTTTAAATTTTTTTTTTAGAATTCGATACTTTAAATGAAAAATTTCACGAAATTTCATTAGTTCTAATAGAAAATGTCAACTAAAATGATTTGTCTCAATCTAATGAATGGGGGCAATAAAATAAATTATCAAAAAAAAAAAATATTAAACGGGTTAGTAAACGGGGCAAGGGCCTCGCGCCGCCCTGCCATAAACGAGAAACGGGGCTGGAAATTGCTTGGCAGGGCGGGGGGTGAGGGAGGTTGGCAAAGTCAATGGTTAAAAAACCCGGCACAACAAAATGATCCGGCCCATTGTGCTAAAAACCAGTCTCACTCGAAACTCTCCACACCTGAAACCAGTCTAACCTAAATCCCCAATTCTCCCCCAACTCTCCATAAAGGATTCTCGATTACAAAGGCTTCAACAACAACTTTAGGCGACCACTGGTGGTATTTCCCAGCCACAACCCACTCCAGCACTACTCCCCCAGCCCTTCGCCCAGTTCCCCAATTGAGAAGAAAATTGTAGAAGAAGCTGCGGCATTCCCCCGACTGCGTCGTTCCCCCTCTCCGTCGCCCAGCAGCTACTGCTTATCATTTCTCTTCTTTGTGGAATTTTTTGTAACTTCCTGTGAACAGGTACCACGACAAGTCCATATCATTTCTTCAACTTAGTCTGATGGGTATATAGGGTTTAGGGGAAATTCATCTCGCACTCGCTATTCACGAAGATGTTTTCACGAATAGTTTTGTACATTGCTTACCTTCAACTTAGTACGATATTTCACAGTTGTTGTACAATTTAAGATTTGAGTTTTGCTTCTTGTACAGTTTTGTCATCTTCACAGTTGTTTGCACTCACTATTAATGAAGACAATATCGTACACATAGAATTCCACATTTCTTACCTTCAGAGCAAAATTTGACTGTTGGCCTCTTCAAATGTATTTGAATAATATTTGATTCATTAGGGATTCCCTTTAAATTTTGACACAACCTTCTAATGGATTTGTTGAGTTGAAAAGAAAAACATGATATTTAAGAATTCTTGATTCGGCAATTCAGATCTCTTTTTCCAAATTCGATAAGTGCTCGAATCATAGATTGCCTTGTATTTGAAAAGTGCACAGAAATGTGAAATTACAGGGGGAAATGGATTTTACAAAATGAGCATTCTATGTAACTGTCATTGTTGAACTAGATTACTTCAATGAATATGTGTTATATTGACTTGGTTCTTTTACGTGGTTGAACTAGATTACTTCGATGGCAGACAAGAATAGGGGAATCTGTCATTGTTGTAGACAGGCTGGACATATGCTGCTCGAATGCCCAAAAAAGAGAAGATGCCCAAATTGTGGTGCGGGCTACATCAAATGGATGGAGGTGGAAAAAAACAATGAACATAAAGGGCTATTGTTTCATTATTGTACCCGTGACTGCAAATACTTTAAATGGTGTAGAAATGATCCCGACGAAAAATGTCCATTGCATGATGACGGTGAATCTAGTGGCATTACAAACGGAGGTGAGCGGGATGATGATTTGTCGCGTATGTTGAAATTCTTGCCAAGCTAACGGATGAGAAAAAGTTGGAGATTTCCCTCAACATAAAGATGTGTAAGGGGAAAAGAGTTTTGGATGTTTGTGACTAAAATTCGATGTAATAGAATTGAAGTAGTTTGGACATGTCAATGTTAATTTTAACGTGAAAATGAAATATGTAGTAGTTTGTAGACTTGAAGTGTGTAGTCAAATTTCTAATGTTGAAGACTTGAAGCCATGCTTGTGCATCCTAACAAAAACATGGGAAGTCCACTATCAATATTCCAATATTTTAATTTTTTTAGCTATTTATTAAATGTCTAAGATGGAAGCTGAGGCTCTGGTGTTCAATCCTACAAACAGCTCAACCTTGTCGAGCATGTGCAAGCTACACATGGTATAAGTTAAATGAAATTGCAAATAAATGAGATCTTTACAAACATAAAAGCCATCATAAGTTAGGTAGAAGAAATTGGCCACATTAATAAGCCATCAACATGGCATTACAATCTGAAATAAACACAACTTATAACTGTAAATCAGTACAAATATTATATTTTTTCATTATTAAATGCACATGTTTATTGATGTTCATTGATAAGAGTGAATAATGGTTTTATTGAAGAACCATCTAGTTGACAGTCTATTCCAATACCAACTGCTTGATACGTCATTCCAGAATTTGGAGTATGAGCGTGAGCGGAAGGGCCTGCAATAATAGTAGCCTGAGGAATGGAATTGGTGGCACCTAACATCTAACCTAATACAGCACTTTGAGGGGGTGACATCAGTGGTTGGAATGGATGCAATGGCTGCAAGAATAATCATTTCAAAATATAATTCTCATATATAAAAAGCATTATATAGAAAATGTCACCCTATGTGAAATTCCCGAAACTTGGATATGGTATAAATAGCTTGAAATTGCTTTTCCATTTCATATTTCGTTGCACACGGTATCATTTGCGAATAAGACTTAAAATCTGCTTGGAACTCCTTCTCAACCTTATTTCTCAATGCCCGTTCATACTGTTCAACGAATTGCTTCAATGATATCTTAGAATGCACATACCCATCGAAGAATGCATTCATACTCTCGCTCGTTGAGTCGTTGACATCCCTGCCCAAAAACTCGTTTTCAAATAACATGGCACCCATCGACCCCTGTTATCATACAACCCGGACAACCATTCATTATCATATAAGTTATATGTATCAATTATCACTCTCCTACATTCCTCGAACTCTTCAACGAACTGCGAGTCATAGACTAATCCATGTATACAAGAAAAAAATTGAGTTCTTATCCACGTGGTATCCAAACTTTTCAGGCAACTTCTTTAATATGTGCCACGAACACCATCTATGTCGAGTATTAGGAAACACTATTTCAATTGCATGGCCATATCTTGATCGGTAATAATTCCATTGGAGCTTGACCATGCATATACAACAACCATGTTTTGAACAACCAAACAAAGGTATGTGTATCCTCATTTGATAGCAACCCACATCCAAGCAATATTGATTGTCCGTGATGATTTACTCCAATAAATGGGGCCAAAGGCATGTCGTATTTATTAGTGAGGTAGGTGGTATCAAACGTCACGACATCCCCGAATTCCTTATATGCTTGCCTACACCTATTATCTGCCCAGAACAGATTCTTAAGCCGTGACTCGTCATCCATATCCATAGAAAAGTAAAACCCAGAGCAACGTGCTTGCATTTCCGATAAGTACGATTGTATTGCCGCGGCATCTCCTTCACCTAGTCTTAATCGTCTTAAATTTTCAACATAATTTCGACAATCCTTTTCAAGGCAAGTCATATTCTCATACCCACCAACTTCAACTACTGCAGAATTGTAACTCTTGTGTAAAGGAATTCCAGCCATATCATTCACTTCTAACTTCCGTTTTACATGTACACTCAATTCTTAATTGTATCGATACACGGGCTTGTTTTATGATTATGTTTGAGGTCAATCGTACAAATTTTTCATATTCCACGAATATCTAAGGAAGCAGTTACCTTCGCTTTGCAACCTATCTGAATTGTTGGATGCGGCTTCAAAGAAGCACTGCTATTATTCATTGATCTTACATCACGACTATATGTCAGTGTAGCATATCTTATTAATCCATCATCACCCTTTTTGGAATTTCTTTTCCGAACCAGAAAAACCTACTTCGTACTCATATTTTTTGTAAAATTTGAACGACTCTTTTTCATCGTTGAACTGCATACCCACCTCAGGCACTATTGTAACATCTCTTGCTAAATTATCACTATCATCTTCCAAGTTGACTACATTATCCATCAACTTCTCATCGTTAGATTCTACACATACTTCGTCATCCAATTCTTCCATTGTTTCTTTTCCTACATCAATGTAACACATTCATTGTTACTAACTCACATAGAATGCTCATTTTCAAATTTACCACTATAAGCAAGTAAATAGAATTCAAAGCTGACCATTTGAAACTATAACTCTAAACATTCCATTTGAACTTCATATTATTTACACCTAAGCTGGTCATATTTTCAAATAAAAATTTCAAAAACAGAGTATTAATAAATTTTGCAGAAATACACAATATTATTGAAAAGCCCCCAATAATTTCTCTGCTTAATTTTTTCTTCTTATGGCAGCCGACTTCAACTTCTAAATGCAATTAAAAATAATTATAGAAACTTCAACTCTTGCGATTACAATAATTTATAAACCTTCTTACTTGGGTAGCTTGAAATCTCGTACTGTTTGTACTCTTCTTAACTTTCAAAACGCCGCAGATTTTGCTTCAGCTGGGGAGGCCGGAGATCCACCAGTGAATGGGTTCAGTGGCTAGAATGTTGAAGCTGGAGTGGGAATCAGAGTGACTGGAATGTTGAAGCTGGAGTGGTTCTCGAAATGGAGATTAGGTTAGAAAGAGAGTAAGCTAAAATGAACACAGGATCAGGGTCAGGGTCGGATTTTTTTTTTTTGGGCCGAGTTTTTTAGCCATTTACTATGCCACGTAGGATTTTTAAAAAAACTGTGTCGATGACTGTGAAGCAAAACTGTACAATAAGCAAAACTCATCCCCTCGAATAAGACCCGACCCGACCCGACCGTAAACTGAGAAATTCAAAGTTCAAAAAAAAAACCCACCTCTTCTCATTCCTTAAACCTCTCTTTCAACTGTAAGAACCCCATAGCCTTATCCACTCTCATGGCCTAACGATTTCTCATTTTTCAGCAACAATGGCTGTCCTGCTATCTTACGCACACTTCTCTTTCCCCTTAACCTCCGCCCGCCGTCCTCGAATTCTTTTATCCACAACATTTGCCTCAATCTCCACTCCCAGGAAAAAATCCAGAAGAAGAAAAAACCAAAACCAACAGCATGATTTAAAATCAGTTGACGATAATAATAATTATAACAATGAGAGTAACTTTACACCCTCGAGTGCTGAGAAATTGTTGAGACTGGTGTTCATGGAGGAGTTGATGGGGAGAGCTCGAAAAGGTAACGCTTTGGGAGTTTCTGAAGTGATATATGACATGATTGCTGCAGGATTGACCCCGGGACCGAGGTCTTTCCACGGCCTGGTTGTTTCACACGTCCTCAATAGCGACGAGGAAGGCGCGGTAAGATTAAATTAAAATCTTTGTTGATTGTTTTACGTTGTGATGTGGCATTCGTAATTGTTTCTTGTTAGTGCTACACTGATTGTTTTACATTATGAGATTATTAGCAATTCACCGTATAGATTGTGCTCTAATTTTAATATCCCGATTGTGCTTTAGCTTTCACAGATAATTTGCTGTTCGTTATTTTTCATTATGCACTAACATTTTCCCTAATTTGATTATTTCTTATCCCGTCAGTTTATGATCAATGTTCTGTTTACGGTCCTTCATTGTATGTCTCGTTGTGATGTGTATTGTGAATTAGCAATTGCAACAACTAGATTGTTGCTGGTGGTGCTGCAAAGCCAAATATATTAACGGCCAGCATGTGTGCATAATGTTGTGTGCTGTACAATAGAATTGGAGACTGCACAATTGACGCTATAGGTCTTGATAATTTGTACTAGACAACTTGTGCTTTTGATTGAGGAATTTCAAATACCTTTACTTATCAAAATGATCAAACTTTTCAATACAATCTGCAAGTATAAATGAGATATCCCTCCAGATAACTATAGCGTTATTTGTCTTCCATGTGGTCATAGTTCAGGAGCCACCTATTCTGCTCAGGCAACCAGAAACCACTTCAAATCTGCAATCTACCTTACCTTCATAATGACATCCTTTACAACTGTTTCAAGCATTGAATCTTATTCTTCCTTATCCAATGCGGTAATTCTGCGTGAAAAACTTCTAAAGTACTCTGTTTTGATCTCACCATTCCACAAAGTTCAATACATTCTAGAATGTTAAGTTTTCATCCATAGTTGTTTCAGGTGAGGATGAACTTATAAATTAATCTAAAGTCTAAACATTACAGTCTGCATTCAAATTCAGAAAGCTAGAACTTGCACACTATCAATAGATATAAAATTAATTAAAGAATGTTAGATGCAACTTAAACAACCTCATTACAGCCTAAGTACATCTGTAAACAGTTTTTAAGATTTTCTAGACTAGCCAATCTGATAAGTTAACTCAAGATGCAAATGCTCTATGAACATATTTTTCTTTGATTGATTTATATTTTCTTCTTTGCACGTTTGTCTATTCATGATTTGCAAGGCAAACTTTTGATGGGTTTTAAAAGGGAAAATAGTGTCTGAGGTTCCAATTTGCCTGAAGTTAGGATTTGGGAGTAGGGTTCCAACTAATTTTTTCTTGGCATCTGAATCCCAGTAAAGTATTTCGTTCAATATGTCCATTAAAATGTCTAATAATACGATGTTATTGGGGTCAAATGTGTGAACAAAAATAATTTCAATAAAAATAACAAAAAGAAAAAAAAAGAAAGACTTGCATAAGAAAAAAAATGCTGTCCAGACTCCAAACCACTCCTACCCATTAAATCATCTGGCCTACTTACCCTCCCTGGCCTTCTAGCCTCACCTCTCCCTTTTAGTCTTTCCCTTCTCCACCTCCCCCCCCCCCCCCCCCCCCCCCCCCCCCCCCCCCCCCCCCCCNAGCAATGCCTTGTGTAAATCTAGTCGCCTTACTATTACAGTAACCTAGAAGAGAGGGATTGAGGAACATTTTATCATAGTTTTTACATTGTCTTGATCCAGCGTGATTAAAAATAAGATTGTGTCCAAGTGAATAGCTTTTGCCCTTGTTTGGTACCCATTATTTCCAAAATACATTTTTCTCTCTTATTTTCAACCACACATTCTTCAATAAAATAATATTACACGCAAATGCAAAACTTTTCCTTATTTTTTAACCACACATTCTCCATCAAAATACTATTTCAAAATGCATTTTCATAAAAAAAAAAAAAAAACGGCTCAAACAAGGTCTTAGTTTCAATTTACACAAAACAACATTTTCAAGTGTCACCGTGTGGATGATTTGTTTTCTCAAGAAACATGTATCTCATTCAACCGATGGTGTAAAGGTATGTGCTGATTGGGGGAGGGGGTTAAATGGAGGAGAAGATAATTGGGTAATTTTTTATTTATCTACATTTTTGTAGTGGAAAATAAGGGTATAACTGCTTTTTCTCTAAAAAGCATATCTGATATGCCAATCACTTGATGTTTTAATGGACTTTTGGCCTGGATGCATCAGCGAGGAGCCAAGTGCTAAAAAAAGTGAATGTCCCAAATTGGTTGAGGACCCATGTGCTTCCTTATATAAAGCTAGAGGGGACCTCTGGTGCTATTTTGCTGACTTAAAACATTAAGAAATGATGCTTATTGCTGCTTGACGATTGGAATAAGATGAATACTGTTCCATTTTGCACATCAATAAGCTGATATTTAATTAGTCCCACATTCATGTTATTTTATACTACACATATGGACTAGTTTCAAATAGTAAATGTTATCAGCTTGTCATGGCAAAGGTCAAATCTTGTTAATTTTAGATACACTATATTGGGTCAGTTGTTCTAAAAATCAATATTATGCAGATGCATGCTCTTAGAAGGGAACTGGGTGAGGGTCTTCGGCCTCTTCATGAAACATTTATTGCGTTGATTCGTTTATTTGGCTCAAAAGGTCATGCTACTAGGGGCTTAGAAATTCTTGCAGCAATGGAGAAGCTTAAATATGACATTCGCCAAGCATGGCTGCTGCTTGTTGGTACAGAGTACAAGCCTGTTGATGATTTGATGGTTTCATATGATTCAATTCATTCATGTCTAGTGTAGCATTTGATTGATCCTTTTCTTGCCACCAGAGGAGCTCGTGAGAAGCAATCATTTGGAAGATGCCAATAAAGTGTTCCTGAAGGGTGCTGAGGGAGGTCTTAGAGCTACTGATAAGCTTTATGATCTTCTAATTGAGGAAGACTGTAAAGTGGGAGATCACTCAAATGCATTGACCATAGCCTACCAGATGGAGGCTGCTGGGAGAATGGCGACTACATTTCATTTTAATTGTCTTCTGAGTGTGCAGGTACCAACGATTGTCTTTTAAGCCTATTTCTTTGATAAAAGTGTGCATTGAAGGTTGATTCATAGCTGACATAGGTTGGATTTGATTTGAAAATGTAACTTTCTTTGAGCATGACAACAATTAAATTGGAATATCTTATTCTCTGACGCCCTAAGTTTATCTGAGAATTATACTGTCGTTTGCCTAGTGTTGTGGTAAAACTATATGTTACCATCAGCTGTAACAAATCTGCTTCCCATTTAATTCATTATGTGCATTAGTAATATTTTTCGGGACTTCAGCTAGGATTTTGCCAGTTCTTAACAAATATATGAAATATTATGGAAAAACACCTAAATTGTGGGCCGCCGTTGTTATATTTTTTAGCACTAGTTTGATTGGTTTGATGAATATTTTGGATTCACTTGGATGGGCATCTTTTGCAAATTGAGGAACCTTCTGTATTTTTGCTAGGCTACTTGCGGGATTCCTGAAATTGCTTTAGCGACTTTTGAGAACATGGAATATGGTGAAGGTCTGTATATACTTTAATCTTTATCAATTTTATACTCGTTTATTCTTTATGTGATGGTGAATGTTAGCTATCATATATTATATTTGATGCTTGATATTATCTGCTATGAGATAATGTCCTTGGATGAGGTAGATTGAAGTTCTGAAAATAAATGGCCAAACTTCTATAATCATCTAAAATTAAAGTTGGCTCCAGAAAAACGTAAAATTTCCATTTGTAATAACCAATAAAAGACGTGATGATAAAAGGATCACCTAAGAAATCATCTGAAAGATCTACTACTATTCATAATTTGGTAAAGCAGAACTGAAAATCCAATTCAATTCTCAAGTTGCAAAATGGAAATAAGATGAGCAACGCCACTCTCAGGCCTTGAAAAGCTGCAGTTATTGTATTTTGTTCTTTATTGGGTTTCTATGTTTTATCTTAAACAATACAACTTCCCCTTGAGGAAGTCTTTTCTATTCTGTTTTCTCTTGGTTTAAATACCATTAGTTAGGTTTCCTGAATACTGAAGAGGATTCAAGTGTGGTTACATCCATTTTTAGGCATGGGTTTTGGAAGTTAGTCAATGAATTGTGTGCCACACTGTCATTGCTTTTGTTATCTCACCACTCAAATGGTTTCCTGTTTGAAATACAAGTGTGCATGTTTTTAGAGAATCCGTCTTTTTGTAATGAGATGCTGACGTTTCATCTCCTGGGCTATTTAAGGGATGCAATGTTTCAATATAGATTTGTTTATGGTCTTTGGAACCTTTTGCTTCATATGTATCATAAAATTGCTTTAATCTTGAGTTCACTTCCTTCAACTGCTATGTTATCCTGCCCCTTTGAGAAATCTTCTCCACTTTAATCCAGACACTGCTCAGATTTAACAAATTTCCTTAAAGTGTGAAACATTATTGGAATTTTGTGGCATCTGATATTCAAAATCAGTAAAAGGGCATTTAGAGTTCAAGGAGAAGAAAATTGAATTTACTGTTTGTTCTGTTTATATAACCTCATTATCACGTTCAACGTGTTCTGAAATTTCTTTGGACTCATGGTTGCCTTTTGTTTCAGCTTTTATGAAACCTGACACAGAGACATATAATTGGGTGATCCAAGCATATACAAGAGCTGAGTCTTACGATAGGTATTCTCATCATACATTCTAGACATATTTTAATTCCTAGTTGTTATTTCGTCAACCTAAAACAGGTAGCCCATTTTTTCTCTCTCAAGTAGGTTTATTAGTATAAATACGATTCAGTACATCCTGTCCAGTCCAGGTTGTAACACCCTAATTTTCCTAAATCATAGTGTTACTAAAAAATTCAATTTTCTTCGTATTAATGTATATCAATTAAAACATGAAGTTTGTATTCATTTAAAAATAAACATAACCACCTAACTATTGAACAAACATGTCTTTGAACAAATTAAAACTAAATAATCAATTGAAAGATGGAAAACTTGATGCTTATTTTTCTTCAAATCCTTTTAGCAGCCGCATCACCACTTTGATTGACCCAAACCAACTTGTAAATTATTGTAATAGTAAGTATTTAACAATAAGATACGTATAGTTTTCATATACAATTATATAACACTAAGTGCTTGTTTGGTAGAGATTTTTGGGGGAAAAATTGATTTTTGAATAGAGATATGATGAGAAATGTGTGGTTGAAAAAGAAAGAAAAATTATTGATGTGATGGAAAATATTATTTTATTAAAAAATGTACGGTTGAA